AGCAATTCACAGGGACCTCGCAGGTCACCCGAGCAGACCAGTCCTCTGGCAGCCTGGAAGGAAAGATCTGAGCAGGAACATCCAGCTCCCAGCTCTTCCCGTCCTATCCACTGAACACCACTCTGCTTTTCCTCCTAAGCCCAGCCTATATTTGTAACAGCATCGTCAGGCCAACACGGTGTCGGAGAACTCAACACCGCTGCTATCATTCGCTTCTGCCAGTCCCATGTTTTATTGCCCCTTGACCAAACTTGGAACCCAGCGGCCGGTCGAACTCTTCCTTCCGAGCTAGACCCAAGGTGCCGCCTGCCAGCATGGGCACGCACGTGGCAGCGGCAGACGACGCTGACACTGTTCTACTTTGCCCTTTAAAACATGCCCTCTGTGCAGCTGCTGTTACTAAAACTATTCTTAAGTGTTTCCCACTCATGGGGCTCTGCACATGATTTCCCTCAGACAAACAAGCACAAAAAAGAAAAAAAAGAAACAAAATCTTGTGCTTTCACTGCTCATGCTTTGCCTGTCAATACTTAAGCAAGTTCTGTCTTCCTAAACGTCTTACTTGGCATTAATTTGCTGGTGGTCAGGCGCTTTGCAGAGCAAGATACTGTATGCAGTAGAAAAATTTACTTTGAGTTTAATGAGGCAAGAACTATTTCTTTTTTAAAAGAAAATTCCACGTTTGCCTCTTCCTTATCCCCTTTTGTTTACATGTAGCCACTTTGCCATCTTGGCATGTCCTGACACTACCCTTTCTTTCTCTACCCCCACTCCCTTCTTTTACAGCTACTCCTACGTAAAGAGGATTTCTCCTGAAGAGCTTCTGTTAATCTGACAGCTCAGCAGGGACTAAACCCTATCGCTTCCTGCCTAAAGATAACTATTGGCCACAATTAAAAATCTGAATGGAGGAGAAAGGAATGCTCTGGGCTTGTTATAGCTACCTTTATAAGGTGAGAAGAGCAAAAACAACACTCAAACAGGATCTTTACCACCAGAAAAAAAATATATACACACATACACACACACACATATATTTTTTTTTATATATATATATATGTTTATTTGTGGTATGCACCAGAGGTCACTCTATTGCCTGTCCCCCTGGCCATGACAGCTGCTCAACGTGATATTTCAGGCCTTGGACTGTCAACACCTAGAATTTGCTTTCCTAAGCAGAGACAGAGATGTTCCAGGGATCACCACTGAACGCCCAGCAACCTGTTCTCCATTTAAACTCAATATGAGCAATATGTAAACCCTGTGCAAATCCCATCAGATACGACTCCGGGGTCTGATGCAGTTGCACAGCACAACAGATGACCATTTGTCCCTGGCTTTCTGCAGACTTCTCTGTGCCCTAAGCGGCAATTGCAACTACAACCAGTGTGCCTTTATTATAACTATTCCAACTCATATCTTACTAGTCTTTAACATCCTAATTTACACTCTAAAATAAGTCATCCGACTGTCTGTCACCACCTGAACACTTCCTGAATCCTGGAAGGTTACCAGCCCCGTGCAAGGGATAAAGAGACAGCAAAGGGGGAGGAAAAAACACAAACACAGCTTCACATGCAACTTCTGCCCTGAAAATACATCAGCTCCTACATTAGGCTAAAGTAGGAAAATAAATTTGCTGAATTTATCCCAACTATAGACTATGAATCGCAAAGGAGGATTTGGGAAGAGGTGCAAACTTACAGCATGTAAGGAATTTCTGCAAGCAACACAGGGCAACTACAAAGGATTTTACATCCCCAGAGCACTTCACATGCAGCACTTGAGTAGTGCAAGCCCTACTGCTCAGTAGCCACAAATGACCTACAGGCTGAAAGCTTCTGGGCTCTCAGATCAGGCAACCTTTATGATCTAACACAGTGCTTTCCCCCACATACGCATTGGAAAGTTGCAAATGCAACAAAAAAAAATTCTCTCTTTCTTCCCTTAATGGTCACTCACATCAGTTTATGTGAGAGAACACATGAACTTCTGACACATACATGTTGCTTTGGCCATCAAGAAACGTAAAGGAGCACTGAAAAAAACCCTGTGACAAATGCAAACAGATCACGATTACCTAGCAGGAACCACAAGCTAAGCAAATTGACCTTAATAGTGTTTGTTTCAGAAGAGTGACACAATTCTGTAGCGGGGACAGGCTCCCCCAGAGCAACAGGTTAAGCAAACACGGGGTGTGATTTCTCAGCTGTTGGTTATACGTCATTGTTTGACTTAATTTGCCTGACAAAAGCCACTTGTCTACAATAGTGATCAAGCAAGGTCACAGTGACATCTGAGCGAGTGATAGAGCGGCCGGTTATTCCTGTGCTTTGCTCATGGCACTAAACACGACAGCTTTGGTCACAGCCACTTCAGTAATCAGCTGAGCTACTTCTTCTGAGCTATGAAGCTTCAAGTGGAAGCAGAATATGGCCCCAGGCTTTAAAAATATACCTGTAGGTGAATGCAGGGCTCAGAGGCAAGACTATTGTGGGGGCCAGAGAAGCTGGAACATACTCATAGCAAGCTGAGATCCAACCACACAATTCAGTGAAAATCCATCAGCTTTAGCTTGTGGCACCTGTTACACAACTGGAACTAACGTGTGGCAAAGAAGAACAAAACCCTTCCTCTGTTTTCTCTCCCCTAGTGCAAACAGCCCTTCAGGTTAAAACAAAACCCAAGTCTAGCTCCTTCTGCGGGGCTTAGCGTTAACCCAAGCAAAACATGGGATAGAGGGTTCGGAGCCAAGACATCCCAGAATCTGAGGAACCACAGGGAGGCCGAGGTGCACACACCTGAGCAGGATGGCTCCCGCTACACCTTTTAGGCTGGCGTTTGTAGCTTGGAACTGCCTAGCATGGAATTATGTTGGATGGTTGTTTTATTCAGATGGGGCTAGAAGCAATTAAAATGCTTTTGATCATCTACGTTACACTTTCTCCCAGACTTCACCACCTTTTAGTTGCTTATTAACATGTCAGTCCTCATTAAGCATAAAGATTAGAAGTTTTGACCTTTGTGTTGCATGCAAACGTTCTCTGATTATGTTTACATAGAGGCATTTTTCCCTATTTTCCCCACATCTACTTGGCTCACAAGCACTTACCCCATACCTGAGCAAAGCCACAACAAAGTCATTCAGAAAAATCCACATGGGATCCACATGGTTAAATGGGATCCGAGTTGCCATTACAATTCTAAAAGCTACAAGTGCAAGCCCACATTTATTGGGGCAATATGTTATTGTGTAATATGCCCCGTAGCAAGATACCAAGGCCTGAACTGGCCCAGTTCCCCCAAACTGGACCTAATTAATGCATATTAACTTCAATGTAATTGCTCAAACAAGGGTATCCACGGGCAAGTCCTCATTCAGTAAACTCTATAATAAGGCTAAAGTGCTGGTATCTGTACAGCCAGCATTATTTAGGATGACTCCAGTGACTAAAATATGAGGTGTCCTCTTTGCCATGTAGCTTAAGAGGTGTTTAAATCGCATGAAATATAATCCAGTCTTGTGCTGCTTTGCATTTTATTGCTTAGTCTGGTACTGCTAACCTGGAACATCAAGTAATCCATTGTATAGCGCATACAGAAAGCTTCACTCTCATTCCAGAAGGAGCCTGCAACGTAATTCCCGGTAGAGGCAATAAATTACTGTGTCCTATATATTCTGCATTTTTAAAGGGCTGTGAGGAATGTGTTGCATAATCAATGACAGATGCTACAAAATAAGTTACTGGCCTGTGATTTACATGACACTGATTTTGAAATGATCTGAGAAGCTTCTGGTATTCAGCACCCAAATGATCATCACAGAAACATCCCTCTATTACTTGACTGGTCTCTCTGGGTGGGTACAGACTGGCAAGACAGACACGCTGATCTTGAAAGGAAGAAAGCAGGAGATGCAGAGAACACTCAACTGGGTCATTAGCAGTCAGTGGAGTTGTGCTAATTTACACCAGCAGAGATTCAGTCCTGGATTATGCACAGGAAGTGTTACTCAAAATATAACTCTCCCCACATTAAGAATTCAGTTCTGGTGTTAAAGACTTCTTGCCTTCAAGAAAGTCATGCAACCACAGGGTGCAGAGTTGGAGGCAGGGGAGATGAATGGACCATAATTCTTCTCATTTCAGCTGTCATCTGATGCCTTTGAAAGTGTCTGATGCCTCATTCCCTCTTGGCTGACTCCTTGTGTTGAGGTAGAAGAGAAATCAACATTCCTCTGCTTTTAAACACACCAAAACTTTACAACTGTGGCTATTTTGTGGGCACTGAAGTTTGAAACATCTTCCCTTACCCAAACCACTGGGTGCAACAGCTTAAGTAGGAGCCCAGAACCAAAGAGATGAGAGGAAAAAGATCATTATGAGAGCAAACAATCTGAAAGAACTGTGTCTTCTCATACACACTCAAGTTCTGCAAGAACCCACTGCACTAACTCTAAGATAAATCCTTTGCTTTGAGCAGAGCACCAGTACTATGATAAGAGACCCCATCCTTATCCTGCCTTGCTTCATCCAGCTGAAGAGCTGTTATCCTTTGGCTCAGATCCAGCAAAGGGTCCTATAAAATATGCATTGTCCTTTTTACAAAGATGCTGGGGTTTTTTTGTTTGTTTTTTCTTGATGTGGCGAGGCAAAAAAAGAGGCCTTTAGCTAAGAAAAAAAATAGGAGAAATCCCTAGAGATGCTCTCATCATTTGGACTGTCTAACAAGCAGATTGATAGAGGAAGAGCACGTGAACAGGCAGAGCCCTCAGGAGACAGCAAGAATGCATAGGCACCCAGGGGAGACTTTATCAGCCATTATCTAGCATATTAAAAAAAAATAAAAAGAAGTAATGTGGGTTGAATCCACTCTTGGCCTCAAGTTTCAAAGAACATATATATCTTATATATATAAAAAATGGAAAACAGTTTCAGCAGGGAGTTTTCCACCTGCAGTTCCTTACAGAGGAGGTCAGGGAACACGTGTCAGCTCCAATGGCAAAAGAGTTGAAGATCAAAGCACACAGATGACAGTCTGGGCTATCCTCTTACTGGCCTAAGTGATCAGCTTTCCCAGACCATCTTGCCAGGCCAGCGTTCCCCATCTTGTGCTATACATAGAGCTAGTAAATTAATACACAGGTACCTGATGAACCCTTCTCTATCACCAGATCCAGGAAGAGCCAAAAAGTGTCTTGTCTTTACAAGTGGGACAGACCAAGGGCAACTTCTACCAACTCTCTCCTTGCCTTAGAGATCATTGCTCTTATTTGCCCCAGGCACCTGAAACACATGCCATTGGTGTGCAAGAGCCCTACATTTCACAGACATGCACCTAAAGAGCAGAGTACTGTTCATGTGAAGGGAAGGAATATGGGGAAAACAGGTTGTGGAGAGGAGGAACCCCACCAAAGCACCACCCAGTCCATATTTTTATGGAGATCTTTGATAGTTGAAAGTAGCTGCCAAATCTTCTGAACAAACAGCCTCTTGCCCAAACTGATCAGGGATTATCGGTGTATGGTCATAGTCCTTCTCTGCAGCTGAATGATGTTTTTCTAAATGAATTGCGAAGATGGAAAACCAAAATTCTTGTCCAGGCACAAATCGCCCCGTGTTTGTTTGTTTACCTGAGAAGGAGAGTGTTTATATGAAGTAGAGTCTCTCCTGTACAGATATCCACAGAGCCAGTACTCTTGTTTGTACAACCACTCTTGTCACTTCTCCACTGTTCATAAGTGCAGTCAAGGTCCCACAGCTGCTCGTGAGCTCAAATGGCTCCTTGGCCTCCTAGGAGATAAGACAAGCACTTTCAGTGCTTGCTTCCCCACAGAAGTCTGCATTCTCAGGCGCACCACAAGTGATCCAGCACCTTGCTGATGGGCCCTATCGAATTAGACATGTTGTTTGTTTGTCTTTCTCTCCTTACAATTCAGCTCACCTCTGTGCGTCAGTGGAAAACAGAAGTGCGCTGTTGGAGAAAATTACTCCTCTGCATAATTTGAAGACTTGTGGTTGACATAACACTTTATAAGGAAAACAGATCCAAAGGTCAGGACTCCTGTAAGTTTATTCCCTTCCATCACCCCAGGAGTTGCCGTTTGGCAACCCAGGCTGAGCTTTTATGTTGGCATTTTTTTCCACAGTCCTGCGTAGGGTCCTCTGAGCCCTTCCTGCAAGAGCTCCCCAGCTGTGGGGGCACACACCACATCCTCTCCTTGCCAAGACCTTGCACAATTGCTTGCGAGTCTTAGGGCAGACCTTGCTGCCTCCTCTAGCCTCTGCCTGGAGAGGAAGGGAAAGCAAAGGCTTCCATTTTAGCCCCAGATTATTTAAAATACACGATGATAGACCCTGTGCAGTGGGAAGGGCCTCCAGCTGTTTCTGCAGCAAAAGCACACACAGATAAAAACACCTAACCTCTGAGAAGAGCTCAGCACATGTTCTTGCCCAGCCAGGGGTTGTACTACACTTCAAAGGAAGCAAATCCCTGCCATGGATTGGCTCCATGTTCTCCATCCCAACACCCAGGATTGCCACCGAGAAACTGTCCTTTCCACCACGCTCCAAGGAGAAGCCGTGGATGCTTCAGGTGCAAGAAAATCTACTGCTTCTCTTAGGAGCTGCTCTATCTAGACCTGAACTGCTTCTGAAGGCCCAAACTGGATGGGAGGAATATTCAGAAGCAGACACAAACATCACATCTGTCACTATTTCCCATGGCAGTTTAGGCTCATTGCATCTCCCTTTGACTACTAGAGAGCTTTCAGTTTTGCAATGCAAACCTGCCTTGAAGTCTCCACAGCACTGATGATTTTCACAGACATTAGAACTTCCTTTGAAGCCCAGCACAATTTCCCCAGTATTATTGGAAAAAAAAAAAAAAATCCTGTCAGACACCAAAGAGCCGCAGTTATGTCACGTGCTATCAAACAAGTGTCACACTTCAGCAAGCAACTGCATTAAAGAGGATTTCCTACAGGATTTCCCACAGCTCAGGGATGCTGTCTAAGCCTATAATGATCTCTCCACCCATCAGTCAAAACAGAGCATAGTTGCTGGAGCCTCCAGAGTTGTAACTCCACATGGGTCAAGGTAAAAGATCTCAGGAGGAACTGGACACTGGAAATGAACATTTCTGGAAACAGCTCACACATTAAGATCCTTCTGCCAAAAAAGTGCCCCCTGGCAGCAGCACAGATGAGATCAAGCTTCTGTGTATGTTCTGAATGTTCTGATCTCTACCACATTAATTCCTCGAATTAGTAACTCTTCCCCATTGTCTGTGGGGGTAGAGAGGCACACCCAGATGTTATTTCATCAAACGTCTCAGACTTCCACCTCAGGCTGAAACATCCTCCAGACACATAATTTGTGCTCATCAGTCACTCAAGGAAGACCTGGCAAGCAACATATTTGATGCCTGTAGCCAGCAGTTTGTGACTTGTCCTTGCCTTGTGTGGTAGCACAGACTTGGAAATCCAAGGAAAATTTAAAATGCTCAAAAACAAAGGGCTCGTGGTTTATTTTCTTGCTTTTTTGATAATTAACACACACACACACACACACTCACTCCTTTTGATTTATGGGTCAATTAATTAATTCAACAGCTCCCAAAAAGAAAGTCCAAGGCACCAGCAGCATAGCTCTGTACATTTCCCAATACAAATAGCACCGCTAAAAGCCAGTCCTCCTTTGGAGCTCCATTCCAAGTTCCTAAGCTTCTCTGCAGTGTTTTTTACATCTCCAGAAACATTTTGAGGCACAGACCTTGAGCACAGTCTCTAAAGTTATTTGTCATCTAAAGACAACAGCTGTGTACATACTTTTTCAAAGCCTGTCACACTACAGAATGACATTGTCTCCGTGCCTTCATAGATTTCCCTCAAACACAGGACTTGGGAGGTATCTTGACCAGCCATCAAGTCCAAGGCATCCCCAAGAGATCCATTATTCCACTGGCAGTGAAGATTTGCTCCCATAAATCCCCCGCACATCAGGAGATGTTTGGACAAGATCCTGCAAGGCATAATAAAAATAATTACCTTGGCAAATTAGAAGCTGACTCCCCAGCCAAAACCTAACCATCACAACCCAAAAGCAAAGCACTTTTGTTCTCCTTCCCTTTCCTCGATGCAAAAGGACGCTGAGGTAGATACAGCAAAATGAATACACGTCAAAGTCAATTCTGAGAATATACGTCAGAGAGTTAAAAGTAAAAGCACACATTCTGGGATATTTTGCTTCCCTTCTCTCAGGCCCCTGTTCTACAAACATTCTTGCCTCTGCTTAATTTTAGCATAGAAACCTGCTGGTTTCTGTAGCACGGCTCAGGAGAACTAGGGTAAGGACGCTCCCATCTGCGGAACCGGGGCCCAAGGCCATGGCCTCACCAGTGTGTAGGCTGGGGAGCATCTCACTGTGCAGGATGGAAGGCAGCAGAACAAGGTCATGCATTGCTGCATATTGAAGCCGCAGGGAAAAAGCCATAGAGAAGACGACAGACCTGCTCTTCCCAGCGTGTGGGAACACATGATCCAAGTCATCTTTCCCTGGAAGATTTCTTTCCAATAGCCTGAAAAATGACAAAAAAAAAAAAAAATCAAGCCTCCAAATTTGACAAGTCACCCTACTGGTGATTTGGGGCTTCCCAGCTTCTTGTTGAAGGTCAGACCACTTCAGCAGATGTGCCCTCAATATCAGTTCGATTCAACTCAGTACCTTAGGGGAAGAAAAACAGAAGGCTAAAGCTCTCAAGTTTTACCCATGTACCTGGGGCACCTAAATAAGCATTGATATAGCACAGTATGCATTACAGCAATACAACAAAAAGGTTAAGCTGCAGGTCACATAAATCAGAAATCGATGACACACTCAGAAGGAAAAGGTGAGCCTAAAGCATAGTTAATCTGAGCTCAGGTCTTCATGCGGTTTCTTTAACCAAGTACTGTGGCCACTTTCTCACTGTTGGCAGGCAGGAATCCACGAAGCTGCATCTTGCCTCCCAGAAACCACCTTACAAAAACATTAGGTTTCAATCTTCAAGGCATCTGCTCTGCAACGAACAGCTGATCTCCTCCCTATGCACCCTGACAGTCATTCAGACCACACTGAGCTCCAATTACCCTACGCCCTACTCATTCTTTGAGGACATCAGGATGCAGGTACGCATTCTACCTATTCTAACTACCTATGCAGTAGGATTTATGACCTATAGCTGCCTTTAGGTGTGCCATTGTAGCAGGGAGACACCACATTACAGTGAGTCTCAGTAGAGCTGCTTTGGGAGAGGTACCTTCTGAAAATGTGGACAAAACAGTTCATTGTAACGTTCCAGCCTGCACAGTCTTTGGATATGCTTCAGTTACCTCCTGAGATGCACCAACAGTTACCTCCTAAGATACACCAAGCTTTCTTACTATGTCCGTTTGGCAAGTCAGACAAATTGCTATTTTGTCCAACTGCTCCCTTCCCAGAAAGTATGACTTACACTACAAGATTTCTCGCGGCTTCATCACGGCTTATGAGTTTCATATCACATACTATTATCTATGCAAGATTTTAGACAGTTTCACAATTTGAGTCACATTTCTGGTTTTCCACAAGGAGCTGGCAAAACACATTGGCAGATGACCTATCTGGCATTTTGGGAGCCTCGCTAGTCCCCTTTGGTCAGACTTTGGGATTTGGACCACCCCAAGTTGTAGTTTATTTCACTAGTTTTTGATATCCATGAAGAGATCAAGGATTTCAGCCATAAATTATCTTGCTGAGCAGGGGCTGTACAAACAGAGAACAAAAAAGACATCTTGTGTGTTTTAATACATGAATATCCACAAATGGCAGAGACAAGGAAGCAGGAAACTTAGTAATCATTTCACTTCAAAACTGCTTTGCTAGACATCTGACAAGATTTTTCTCTCTCATAGCAAACATAAGAAAGGGTGCCTGTGGGAAATAATAAAATCAAGCACAAAAAATAAGAGTTCCAATTAAAACTTTCCATTTTTGTTTGGGTTTTTTGTTGTTGTTGTTGTTTTTGTTTTACTGGCATTTATCTACACGTGTTTACGACACTTCAGAAGTTCCCCCACCACACACACACAAAAAAAAAAAAGCATACTCATAAAATGCTAACTTCGTAAGGAAAAGAATAAGAGATCACTTAGACAACTCTAAGACTTAAACTCAAAAGCACAAAACTGCCAGGCTTGGAAAAAAAGATCTCATGTTCATACCTAAACATATGGTTAAACACATGCCCTTGCATGCAACGTTTTACTCATTGTCACACACACAATTCCTCACACCAGCTAATCCAGTGGATCTAAGCCACCAGAAAGGCTGTGAAGGCCATTAGATGTCTAATCACCCTGATTAATCAAAACAGAGCTTTCCTATTCACAGGAACACTCCCTGCTTCTGAAGCAGCGCAGCACAGTGTTCTCAATTGTGTCTCAACACGCTCCATCAAGTATGAGGAAAGAAAACAAGGAATTTATCCTGGAGAAAGACAACAGGCTACCAGTGTTTTGATAAACTTGAACATTTAGTTCTCTATGAACACAGCCTTCTATTACCTGTGTCAAGTCAAGCCAAAAAATGCTCAAACACATGCTTCTGGGCTAGTCCCTTTAGGGTTCTCAGAGCCTGCATAACATGCCAAACGCACTAAGGGTTTTTTTCTGTGCTCATAAGGTACCTTACTTCCTACAGGTAAACACAAGCAAATAAATAAATTTATTTGCAATAATAAGCAAGCAAAAAATAAATTTATTGCCCTTGCAAGCAAGGGCAATAAATAAGTAAATAAATAAATAAGAATCAGGCTCCCTCAGGGTTCTCAAATTAAGATACTGTAAATCATCAGTTCTAACCATAATCTTCAAGAGGAATCCCCAGGTGATGCTCCAAGCTCTCACACATACCCCATGTGCTCTCAGTTATATCAAGTCTCAGCTTCTGCAAGCTGCACAATCATGAGTTTAATACTTATTTAGTAATGCTGAGGGAATGCAGGTAACTTCTTATGGTGGTTCTGGTTTGTTCCCCTGGGTTACTCTGACATACTAACTATGATTCACTACTTGGTTTCTATGTAACTATGATTTACTACTTGTTTTTTTTGCTAACTCTTCAGGACTTTGAGAGCTCTGACCGCAGCCCAGGACATCCAGTTCCACCTGGAAACACCAGAACCACTCTCCATCGCCTGCTGAAACTCCTCATGCAATCACTATGCCAGCTACATCTACCAAGGTTTGCTTCAGTGACCACAAAGTTAAATTTAATAGATGCATAAACCAAATATTCAGGAACAAAGGCAGCTCCAATAAGAACCTAAAGGTTTAGGGTCCACAGGTTAAGAACTCCTCTACAGTTAGACCTTTCTTTTAGCCTGGGCTGTACTAGCTGGCCTCTCAATACATCAGTTTTAGCCAGACAGCAGGGCAAGTGCACTGTCCTACCTCAAACAGGCTGCTGTAACAACAAATAGCCTTGAAGAGGAAAATGGGGCTATTTTTCCAAATAAGCACAGGTAAACAAGAAATAAAGATGAATAAAGTAAACACAATCAAAACAGAACAACCAAACACCATGCCACAAAAATACACATCCAGAGCCCCAAATGAAGATGCCACCTCATGAAGATGCCCCAAATGAAGATGACACAGATGCACCTAGGATAACAGGCAAGCACTCACTTCTGCTCCACATTCACTACAACCCCTCTTAATTCCAGCAAGCCAACAACCCCCACACAAACAACCCTTATGGACAACAGCCTCTTACCTCCTGGTTCAGCCACTTCCCACTGGGATCAGCAGCCTCACCAGCACCATAGTCTCCTCCAGCACACTTGGTGCAGAAAAGCCATTGCTTTGCTTCTCCTCTCATTTCACCCCACCAGACAGCTCGTTCCTGCAGCAGACACAACATAACACAGCTGTTCCTGGCACACACCTGAAACCCATCACCATACTTAGGCCACCACTGACCAGGACTTCCCAAGATCTCCACCACCTTCAGCTAAGATGATTCCCATGGGCACTTCCAGCACTTCTAGTCAATCAGGGGCCCCAGCCTATCTCACCTGCTGCTGCAGCCTCCCTGCTGCAGGAAAATTAAGAAATTGCTGCAAAATAGCTGTTTTTCCCCTAGTGCCAGAGGAGTGAGGCCATGCAGTGGTGCAGAACCTACAGTGCTGTGACTGGGGGGCCCTTCCCTGCTCAAAACTGCAACTATTTCACAGAATAATTCCTTCAGTTTTGTCACTATCTCAAAAGCTCCAAACTCTGGCAAAAAAAAAAAAATATGGTGCAAAAACATCCTCCTGAAAGCATTTCACACAAGGATAATTGCTACTTAGCCCTCCATTGCTGCTAGAAACTGGCTCTTGCAGGCCATGGGGACCATGGGGAGAGGTAGGAAGCCCCTTCCTCCCTGGCAGACCACAAGTTGCCTGGGGCTCCCCTTTCAAATTCTTGGTTTTTTTCACAACCTGGAGGGGATGTGAGGACTCCAGGCCTGGATCTTGGGGAGAAAACAGGGTTCTTTGGCTAGCCTGCTGCAACGGAGGGCAGATGCAGGCCTTGCCGAGGGCCATGCAGTGCAAGCGTCCAGGTTTGGCCCACTTGAGACCCACAAACACTTTACGTGTTGCCCCAGTGTCCCAGCCGTATTAGGAAGCACTAAACTGACTTCCCCAGGCACCTCTGGAGCTCACCTAGGCCGTGATGAAGCCATGGACCCCTTGGCCATGGCCTCTTCACCAGGGAGCTGCTTTTCTCCCAGCAGTTCTCCTTTCCACAGCTTTCCAAAGCCTTTCTTGGTTTTATTTTGGTACAGATGAGCCCATAAGTACCCTGACTCCTGTGATTAGTGTTATCACTGGAAAAAAACAGGGCCGCAGTATGTAGAGAAAACAACCTGTGGCCTAAATAGTCATCCTGCACATTTTAAGGACATCCAAGAGTGTAGGGCAATGCCCAAAGATCTCAGGGTGCTGGTTGTGGAAATGCCCCGTGGATATTTATTTCAAAGTGTTGTTTATTGATCAGTGCACATGGCTCATACACTTGCTGCAGGTTTTAAAATGTCACTGCACATCCATGAGTCACTGAATGTTTTTAGGTCCTGCCAGCTGCACTGGCCATGCTGCCAAGTAGTCACCGCATCTCTCCCCTGTAATCACATTCATATTTTCCTGGACAATGAAGGCAAAAGAAATCTCTGTGACTAATGAGACTAAGACCTAATTCATTACTCTCACACATGCTACCCCCCTAAAGCACCAAACCACTGTCCTGAGATGGTATGGTTTATTTGCTTTTCTTCACTGTTCCCAGCTTGTCCTTAACACAAGTTACTTGTCGTGTAACTCGATAGTAAAACTCATCAATACAATGCACACAAGCTCCCAACTGTCTGCCAGATTGCAAGAAAAGTCACGTGATATCTATTAACTTTATTGGATTTGAACCTGAGAGCTGAAAAGCCCCATATCTCACAGCTAGTCCTTGGCCAACTCCATTCCCTGCTGCTCTTCCTTCTTTGAAGATTCAAATTCCAGCTATCTGCGTGAGTGATAGACGAGCACAAACCAAACTGTGTGAATCTCTGCACTACAGCTTATGAGCAGGCACTTGATGGTGATCTATCCTGAATACAGCCCAACCCAAGCCACCTGCATTGCAATGTTGCTATTTATACATCAGTTAACTTCCTTAAAAACACTTTAAAGGCAATAATGATTTTAGTTTCACAGCTAAACGTAATTGTGCACACTACTTTGCAGATTAAAACCCCCAAGGCACAGGTTTGTTATGCAACCCAGATCTATGGCAAAGCCTGGAACGAAACCCAGTCTCTGTGCTTTATTGTGTCAAGCTGTAGCTATAAACACAATCTATATCAACACCTCCCATGCCCAGTCTCATCAAGAGTAATGAGATAAAAATTGCACCAACATAACTGGAATGCAAATTTGTTGGCAGCTCTTCGTGGGATTGTCTTCTTTGCAAGGTGGTACTACTTCTCTGTTGTCCAGCTGACACACACAGGGCTGGCACTAGCCTTGTGAACATCTTGGATGAAGCCTGAGGAGGACATATTCCTACTTTTCCACTTAAACACTGAATAACTTGCATTAATTTTCCACTCAGGCCAGTGGGGCCCTTCACAACCAGAGCCTTGGAGCTTACCCTAGGAGTGGAGGTTTTGACAGGAAAGCTCTATGGATGTTTTACCTTCCAAGGCTTTGTTTGAAGGGTGTGGAGGAAATGTCATCCAACCTGTTAACTGAGGAAAAGGCTCTTTGAACTGTAGTTACCTGTTGGCACAGAAATCAGTTGGGCAATCTTAATTGTTTACATTTGATTATACCTACAAAAAAATGTGTAGCTGCGTCACTTTGAACTAAGATATTTCAGAAGGACATGGATAAACAGCTCAGGAATATGCTGAAGGAACACCCAGAACTAGCTCTCTGACACAAGAAAAACGGATAACAGAGACCTCAGGACATTCCTGTCTACGTAAGTATTCATTCATCTGTTTGTTCACCCATTCATTGTCACTATCAACTTCTTCAGGGCCAAAGTTTCATGATAGAAGCACAAATAAGGAAAGTTTTGAAGGAACAAAACCACAAAATCAGTAGAGGGTTGGTCCCTGTATCTGGGCTAGATTCACCCACAGCACGTACATTTTGGGAATGTGCACGTCCACACTGTATGATGACTAGATCTGTACCCAAATGCTTATGTGTAAAGAGTCACAGCAATGGACAATTAACAAGGGGTTAATTTGAGTCAAAGATGAAACACTGAATCTAATGTAGTGAAAAATATATGGAAAAATAAGGGAAGACAGAAAAAAAGAAATATATGATGTCAAATGGCTCCAATTACCTGTCCTCATATTTAATATCATTCTTTTGGGGCCAATTCACATTCATATGGAATAATTCCTGGATGGTGAGAGTGAAAAAGGTAGTTCTGTAGGCTACATGCCTACAGTTGAGAGTGTTCATGAGAGTTATAAATGATTTCTAGCTTACCAGAGACACAGAGATCAATTCTTGGACCACAGCAACTACTTTTCTATGACAAGGTATAGATCTAGATAATACATAGGAACTAGGCCCATCCATCCATCCATGTTACTCATAAAATGTGGGATTTCTGATGCCAGGGGGAAGAAAGTTCTCATTTACTAGCTCTGCCCCATGAGCCGCACTGGGTCATACACACTGCTAGCGTTTCAATGTTTGCTTACAAAGCAGATGTCTGACAGGCACAGAGATAATTCCTTCAAGATCTCCAACAGCTGTGGCCAGCACGCAGATAAGAGGCCTTGTATTTTTACAGCCACCCAGCCAAGGCCTTATGCAACTTGGTTAAACTGCCCTCTGAGACATTGCCTTGCCAGCTCGAGTAAGTGGCAGACACCTCTCTACGGGGGAAGAAAATCAGTCTTTTGTTAGACGTCAATTTGTTTTTCCTTCGGGATAAAATTTTGAAACACTTTATTTTTCCTTTTTTTATATATATATATTTTTTTTTTTTTTTTTTTTCAGAATGTGGAATCTTCAAACATGGTTTGCTTCTCCCCCTGCCAGCCAGCAGTGCTTTGGCATGGAGGCAGGTTAGTTCCACCACTGGAGGAACATAGAGCTTTCACTAGGTCCATAACATCAAGCAACCCTTTTCACAACCCTACTCCTCATCCTCTCTGCCTAACAATGTGGTTTTGTGTGCACACTCTGTTGCTGATGTGTAGGGCTTGAAATGGTCTATTTCTGGGACTGAAATATTATTCAGTGAACATTCATTAAGGAAGAGAGAAGACAAATCAGGCTGAACTCAACAGAATAATGTAGATATCCTAAAAAGACAAAAGACAAATCACAAGCCATTTTTCCACCTAAAATGGGAAATACAAGAAAATGTAATTACAGTACAGAGGTATTCAGGTTGTTTGGACTCAGCCAAGTTGCAGTAGCCTAACAGTAGCTTGGTATTATATCTACTTGATAATTATCAAACTTAGTGCCAGGCATTAGTGTCTTGGTCCAAATTCGACATTAATATGACCATCTTGCTTCCAAACCACCTGGTTTGGGGATCCTAGAAGTAATTGACCATGTGCAGAGGACATGGAATAGCAGTCATCCAAGAAGCAAGCAGAACTAATTTGCTGGTCTTAATCTTAGGAAGGCCTTGGATCAAAAATGTAGGTGGGAAAAAAAAACTTTCATATTCTATCAAGGATATGAAACTAAAACAGAGTTCCATCAGTCCAGACATGAATTTCCCCAGGGTTGATTACTTTGGGAGTGGCCATCACAAAGGTAGATCTAGGAAAAAAGAAAAAAAGAACATGTTCAAAACAACAGCACGTGATCACTCTTTGTACAACATGAGTCATAAAAAGACAAAGAAACTCATAGCACATTGGCCCTGTATTGTGCTTCCCTTTGGAGGACTTCAGTGCTCTTCACCAGAGGCATCAGATTCACATGCCTGTACTCATGCTGAATAGCACCTTGCCATATGAGTAATCCCATTTAACTGTATGGAGCAAATCAGTATTCTTAGCACAAAGGGATCAGGCTCTAATTCTAGCTAATAAAGTGCCAGTCACTTCAGGAATTTTTTTTTTTTAATGAAATTGTGAAAAAAACACATTTTTTTCATGTGAATGTCGAATCGGAAAATGCTATCACTTTCTCTTGACGTAAGTTCTCACATACAGAAATCAATGTCATAACTTACAAATATAGAAATTTAATGACCAAAAAGTTGTCAAGATAAAATGGAAAACTATCTAAAATGTTAAAATCTCTGCGCTTACTCCCTTGCATATGCAACATCATTTACTACTTTAAAAGATATGAGGGATTTTGGCCTGTTCTTCTTCCTCATCTGCTCTTACAGATTAGGTTGCAGGATTTTCCCAGCTCTTCCTTGCATGTGTGTGGGAGGTCACTGAAATCAGGCCCATTAAACTAGAGGTAAGCTGAGGCAGGAGACTGTGCAACATTTTGCTTTTGCTGAAAGAAATGTCACCTAGAATGGTGATTTCACAAGAGGTGAGGCTTAATCATTGTCCTAGCATGACATATTCCTGCTGTTGTTACGGTGACTCTAGTAAAAGTATTCACAAGGCTTCTGTTAACAGTCATTAAGAAGGATTTTCTCTTGCAGTGTACTTCCATTCACTGAAATGATAATTTGAGTAAGGAATGTTGTCCGTACACAAACAAGTCTCTTTCTATATGACTCCGTGGGGAGTCAACATTTATTTTAGGTCAAAATGCCTTAGATGCCAACCTTGAACACAGAACATGGTATTTTTATGGTTATTTCATAGTAACTAGACCTAAATTATATTTGATTAATTTAGATTTGATTGGATTAATTTTGTTCTGGGCTATATTCTGAGGGGTTCCCAGAAGCTTGAAATATTACTATGAACCCATTCTGCAATGTGGAAAGAGCTAGAGCAGAATTTCCTAGAGTTTTCCTTCTATTCCGGTCCCAGGTTAAAAAAAAAAAAAAAAATGTTGATTACTGTGGGAATGAGATCCAATTAAACACAGGACCTGCAATTTTCAGCCACTAGCCCACCTCATGAGCCAAAAAAAGGAGAGCAGCTGAAATTCTGAACGAGGGAAAGTAGGTCTTCCCATTTATATAGAGCACAGAGCAACTAAAACGGTAGCTACACAGGATGATGTGGAAGAATGCTTTGAAGAACCAGTGCATTCCTGGGAGCTGTTTCACAGCAAATGTTGCTCATTAATCAATCATTTCCATTCCTGGTGGATCGTACTACCTGGCTTTTAGTTTACAGATGTTCAGAGTTCTATTCTTCCCTCGTACAATTGCTCAATGTGGTCACAATTTTGAGACAAACTGTACTGGCCAAGGGCAGAATTTGGAGACTGTGGTGCCAGAATTTTACATTTGCAACATTTCTGCAAGCAGATTTCTCTGTTCCAATCCTCAGGTTGGACATCTACATGATATATTTAGAAATGACTTTCCATGGATCCAACTCAAAAGAATCTTAGTGTCCAGTGAATTATTGTTTGCAACTGATTGCACTCAGAGTTGCAACACAAGGGAGAGTGGGGTTTCTGCTTTTTTTTCCCCCCTTGTTGCCTTTGGATATTTCACAACCTTCAGTTAGCTAAACTCCAAGTCTGAGATGAGGATCTCGCAACACTGGTTTATCAATGCCACTGAAAAACAACTCCCTATAGCGTCAGAGCTTCCATTGATCCACCAACTGGGATCCAAGCTGATAGCACCTCAGACAAGATCTCAGGAAAAGTCAGATTTGTTGATTCAAACTGACCTGGAATCGCAGCTTGGCAGCAGAAATACCTCCTGTTTAGCAATCAGACTCCATTGTCCATTTTTTTTTAACTTAATAAGAGCTGACATAGCATCAGTCAAGCATCTTCCAGGACTTTTCTGGTCCAGGACTTTCTCTTCAAAGTCAAACCTTGACTCAGGGTAACCAAGACTCCAGTGACCAGACAATGACATTTGAGGAGGAAACCAAGCACATCTCTGCACTGTCTGATTGATACCAGGAACCTGAGCCTTGGCTATTTCCATATGGTGTATTTGGGGGTATAGCACTTTAGACCAGTAGTAGACCACCCCACCAATGACCCTCACAATACTGACAGCCAGAGCAATAGGACTTGCTGTGGGTGGCCTGTATAGTCATGTGAGATGGTTACACAAGCAGAGGATGCCTGGGGAATCCTTTAAACCCTTGGCCTGCTGCACCTCTCCAGGCAGGTGTATTGTACAACAGATATATGCACTAATAGAGTAGCATCAGGGGGTTGTTCCTGCCTAGGGCTGAGAGTTTGAGCTTGGATCTGGGAAGGACTTAAACACATGAGTCTTTGAGCATTCTTGCAATTTAAAACTTGAGCGTGCATGCACATGCTCTGATTGGAGTCAGACTAGAAAACTCAGCACCTCAAAGCAGGAAAACCTGCAGCTCCAGGGCAAAAATCTAGACGGGGGGAATTTTTGCTGTTGACTACAATGGCATCAGGACAAGATTCAGTATCTGTCATCACCTAGGGGTTCATATAAGAATTTTAACCCAAAGCCCAGGTAGGTCTTGTCTGCTAATGACATCATTTGAGGAAAGACTGGTGTCTGACATTACAAAATGATTTCCAGGCCAGACCACACTTCAAGAAAAGGGTGGATAAAGGAAAACAAAAGGAAAACATGCTTTCAGCCAGCAGAACCAGGGGAGGGCACTGGTTAGCAGAGTGGGCAAAAACATCACATTTGGCCCCTTAGTACAGAGAAATGAAGTTGGAGAAGGACTAAAACACAGAGCAGAGATGAGGAGCCTAAGGAATCTCAGTTCATTTCTCCTGCTAGAAAAATGAGGGATGGAAGCAGTGACTGCAGCCTCTAGGAGACACTGTCAGCAACAGCTCCCCAGAAGTGGCCAGGGTCCCTCACACCACGTTCTTCGTGCACAGCAGTGGCAGCCAGGCCACTGACCCATCATCAGATTGCCACCGCTGTCAGCTGCCCACTTTGCCTGTACCAAGAGCCAGCCCTGTGAACACTGTTCTCCAGTCTTCCACTGGCCAGGTAACTGGGGGTTTCTGCTATATTTCCATCACTTCTTCACGCCATCCCATCCATCCCTTTCTTCCCTGTTGAACATGACATCAATGCTGGGCTTCAGCCCTGCTCATCCTTCATATCATCCTTCAATCTCACCCATGACTGGGAACATCTTGAGGGTACTGGGAACATGATCACAACACCTGAAAAAGTAGAGTCCTGGAGGGGGCCAAAATGGCTCCATCACGAGGGGAAGGAGGCCAGGCCCATGGGACCTTTGGGGCACCATGAAAAGAGACAATGCAGACTTGCTATAGAGCTGGCCTTTTGACAGGTCGGACAGCAACCCAGTATCCCATCCATCTAAATAATCCCATGCAGTCAAGATTCAATCTGCACTTGCCTAACTCGAAAGAAGAGCTGTAGGATCATCTCTGTGAATGGAATGGACAGCCAGGGCGTTGCTGGTTTGGGTTTTCCTCTCTACTTAGTTGTATTACTAGATTAATGTCCAATTCCCTACATGGACCATAGCCTGGATGCATCCCATAGCATTGTTTGTGGAATCACAGGCAGGGTTATGACCACACTTGACTGTGCACACAAAAATAACCATTCAGAAGATAAGGAAAACAATGGAACATATGATATTTGTTCCATTGGTGTGTGAAATCTCACGTAAATAAAGAATTAAAGAGGAAAAAAATGAAACAAAACATGCAGACTGAAAAAAAACCTCTGCATCAATCACTGGATTTTTCCTTTAGAGCTCAGCCTCAGCTCCATCAGGAAAACAAAAATCACTTCACACCAGCTTTATCTCCTCCATCCTCTCTCCCTTTGATGGCAGCAAGTGAGTAGGTGAGGGCTGACCTTTCCTAGAAACTCTTCCGCTTTTCCTAGAAATAAGTTTTCAGTCACATGATAGTGTTTTGCCGCTCTTTAGGAATTCCAGATCTTGAATGAGGCAGATTGTAAACAAGGAAACCTGATACCTCAAGGGCAGAAGGAGAGAAAGAACAAGATGTCCATAGACACCCTGGAGCGTGTTCAAGCACTGCAGTGTGTTCTGTGGTTTGTTTAGATCTGTTCATATATGCACACATATATATGCACTTGCAGGCACATTTTTTTTAGCCTGCGTTGCTAAATGCTGCTCAGAGAAAGTCAGTCATAAGCAAACCAAGGTTCCCCAGGTTTCTTGATGTCTGCAGCGCTCAAACCCAGCTATTTTATGGCAGAAGGCAGTGACTACAGGACCTTGCTTGTGGGTGCAAAAAGCACATGAGCACCCACAAGTTGCCACACAAAACCAGCCACTTTTGCCTGGCTGTTTATTAAAATCCTGTCTGGCTTTTCAGGAACAGAGCCAACTTTGTGGCCAGGGGGAATGAGGCATGAGATGGGTACCGGAGAGCAAAGGGAGGATTTTGGGAGGTCAAATGAGCAGTATGGTTAAAAGAAAGATGGGATAGATTCATCAAAAGGCACTGAGAGAAAATAAGAAACTTGGAGAATCAGAGGTAGCAGTTGAGAGAGAGAGAGAGAGAGAGAGAGAGAGAGAGAGAGAGAGAGAGAGAGAGAGAGAGAGAGAGATACTTCTAAAAGAGATATCAAATGAGAAATCCTCCTGGATTTTCAAAAGGGAAATTTAGAGAAAAAAATATCCAGAGTTTCAAGAACTAAAGGGACTCAGTCAGGTTTCTATATGGTCATGATGGAAGAAGGGTGGTTGGAA